GTATCAGTAATCAAAACGGAAACGAGTCATATCTCCATCCGCAAAATCACGGACGCGCGCGAATTTCGCGCGTCAGCAAAAAGTTTCACTCGGTGTAGAAATCATCGTTATTGAAATGGAATCGCTTAACTGTGCACGGTAGGCTAAAATACTTAGCCCGGCGGCTTCAGCCGACGTTGAAGTGCCGCACGTGCTCGAGGATTCCTCCTCCCCCGTGTCGCACGAAATTGGCTTCCGGATGTGCGAGGAGAAAGAAATGCGCATACCCGCGCGCGTGGTATCGCCGCGCAATTAGTATCGTTAAAGAAATTAATAATGCATTTGCCGCTCGCGTTTTCAGACTTTCTATATAATTAGCGCAAAATCTAAGTGGCAGTGAGAGCGGGTGATTTATAGCTGAAGATAAGGGGGCTCAGTCGCAGAATCTCGCTTCCTCGATGCCGAAGGCCGCCGTCGCCGCGCGCCGAAGGAGTTCGCTTTTCCTGCTTTTACGGGGGATACGTATCGAGGGGGGGGGGGGTATCCTCTTTCGTTGAAACACTCAACACTCATGGGGATCTCAGTCGGCGAAGAAATGAAAAGTGCAGTCGCCGTGCGGAGTTTCTCACTGCGGCCCCGACTTTCAGCCGGAAGCAAAAATGAAATGCACATCCTTCTAACGTACGCCCCATTGCGCCTCTCATTGAGATTTTCTACTCATCATCGGGAAACGCCCCGGAAGCCGTCACGTGCGTAGAAAGTTCGACGCATTTATTATTGTTTTTATCGCGTATACTCGTGTATCACAATGAAGATAGTGAAACCAGAAAGTAAATTTATGCGCGCAGAAATTCATTTATATTTATCTATCTTGTGGGTTTACGTAGAAATTCTGGAGTAAATCTTGAAATAAAAATGAAAAAAAAAAACCAATCATCGACGTTATGCGTCGAGAGACATACGTCGAATTATTTTTCGTTCTTTTCTTCGTTATAAGAGAGATTTGCTAGCGATTTTTTTTTTGCACGATTCTTAACGTGTGCGTTATAGCATTAATAATTATTTCTCGCAAAAAAATTAATATTAATTTTAAATGATACATTAATTTAAATTTAATGATTAATGATTAAATGATACATACTTGAATATGCGAGCAAAAATTTCATCTATATTTCTATGCTGAATTAAATAAAACGGTATTTGAAATCTGTAAATTGTTGTGATCGCGCTTTAATTGGGATATTATTAGCTTTTAACGAAAGAATTAAATAGAGAGAGTCTCTCGCGCGAAATCTTTGCGGTTGCATTGTTCTTTATAGCTTGTAACTTGCTAAAGACGATACGTGAGAGAAACGCGATTGCGCACAGAGGAGCAGAGAATCATGTGCAGTCGTGCTTGTTCTTTAATGAACGGAAAGCTAATACGAGTGGCTGTTAGTTGGAAGGTCCCGAGGTCCATTTGAAGGTTTCGACCGCGAAGAAGGAAACGCCTGTCTGGACTTGGGCGTTTATTTTCCACGATAACTTGCTATTACGGGAACGAGTGCTTGTCGCACATGTGACGCGAGCAATCGTAATGACGATTAAAACGTCGTAAATTTTCGTCGTAATTTTCTTTTCAAATCACGTTATAATCCTTTCATCGCGATACGATTTTAAAAAAATAAATAAGTTAAAGAAATTGTTATTATTCTGTTTTCTCAAATATCGCTTTATCTTATTTCGATGTCTGACATATATCTTTGTCGTGACAGTTTTATGTAACTACATGTATGTAGATCTAGATATCGAGTTACGATTAGAGAGGATTTTTCAGAGGATTTGAATAACGGAATAAAAATATTAATTTGAATTAAAAATATTAAACACACACTCGATACTTTTTTATACTCATTCTTCGTTTTACTTCAGTTTGATCTCGTAATAAAACAACCTTGCAGTGCTTTCCCCCCCCCTCCCTCCCCCTGTGATGCAATACCTGAGTCGTAATGCGCGCTGCTAATGGCAATAGTATCCCGATTTCGCAGCTGCGCGATTAGGCGAGACGGATCATCCATT